ATGGGGTAGGGGGAGTGAGTGAGTGGCTGTGTGGTGCTGAGTTGCTGGCTGAGGCTAAACCATGACATCTTGTCAAATTGATTTCCCAGACTGCGGTCTGGCAATCTAAAGTCAAACCCCAAATCTAAATGCTGAAGAGAATGAACTGAAAAAAAAGTTCTTCTAATGTCATTATGTCAAAAAAAGATCTTCCTAAATTTTCCTACAAAATTATAGTTTAAGATTAAACTATCTTGCAAACTTCTGTTTCTAACATTTCACAAAAAAAATGAGCATCACATGTTTTGGTGAATGCTTTGGAGATCTGCATTAAAATCCTCTGTAAGTGATCATTACTGCATTATATGCATACAGATTAAAGGTATTCCCCAAGTTTCAACACTACATCCCACACATTTAGCCTATTACCATATTTAGGATATTTTGCCCAAGAAGGATCAATTGATAGTTTATGACACTAAATATTATAACCAAGTATTGAACAAGATGTACAGTGCCTACCAGTTTTAAGAATATTAACACTTTATTTACTAGGCAATGATATGCTCTTCTGATACTTACCATACAGCAATATCCCCCTACCTTCAAAGGACCTGCTCCCAATAAGTGCAAAAGTCACAGGTTTCAATGGGTAGGAAAGCAATTTTTCTCCTAAGGACTTATGTGATAGAGTGGAGAAGCATGCAGAAAGTTCATAAATACCATTTAAATACATAGAGACAGTATATATAATATGAAAGACAGAGAGGCATAGCAAGATGATCAGCTGCAGGAGATGATGGCCTTTCAGACGCTGAGATTTTTTCAGTAATTGTTTTTCCATCCCATCAAATTCTGCCACTTCACCTGTGATACTGAACAACCATCACAAATATGAGTGTTCTTGCTACTTCTTTCTGAACATGTTCATCATTAACCTCTTTACACAGAACAGTCAGTTAAGTCAATCGAGTTTAATTCTACTGAGTAACTTCTGCAGGGTCAGATTTCCAAATTTTGGGTTTTCTGGTTTATTATTTGCCTATCTAGTTTCTTTTCATCAAAAACAAAGACACTGGATCAATATTTTTACTGTAAGATTTTGCAATTTTACCATTTTTGCAAAATTACTTGCAAAATGCTAGTCCACTTGATTTGTAAATACATGAAACTTTCAATTAAGTTTTGCAAATCATCTGGTCAGAACATTGGATCCAATACACAGATGTGCATTATAACAGGCTAATTACCTAGGACACTGCTACATGCATGCAATTATACCACTTCTATATTCGGCTGAGGTCTAGAAGCAGAACAGCTTTCATTATATAGCACAAAAGCTCGGTTACAAAGTCAGATCCAAGTTGCCTCCACTCAGAAACAATTACATGATCTGTATGGAGTCAGCCACCCTTCATATTACCTATGAAATATAAAAGTAAAAATGTGAAATTACCACTTTAAATCTCAAAATGTATGCATTTTCAACAAGTAATTAGGTACAAAAATGGCTTTATTTGACAGACATACAAACTTTAACTAAATTCTTGCCTGCATTTGAATAGGAAACTGGAGGCTAAACATGGGCCAGAATTCAGCTTTCTTAAATCCAAGACCTGGGTTTGTTACTTACAGTAGTTAAATACCATGTAATAATGTAATACACAGCTAGAAAACAAATTGAGTAAAAAAAATAAATCTAAACTACCTGTTGATAAAGTTCCAGCATTACCACCAATCCAAAATTAGCGGTTGAGTCCTTTTTTGGTAATAAATTCCTTGGAGCAATGTAAGAACCTGCTCCCTTCGGATTATGTGCTTACCTATGAATTTTTCCACGGTCATTTCTCGAGCCACCAGATCCCCAAAGACTCCCTTCAGGTTACCGATGAGCCCCCCGACTTCCTGGCTCTCTGTGAAGCTCTCCAGGATATTTCTCGTGGCGGCCACACCTGGCTCCTGATTCTTGCCTTCCTCCGCCTCCGACCCCGCTCCGTCCATCTCGCCCAAGGCCATGTCCGAGGCCGGCC